ATTTTACAAATACATTGTGTGTTGTAATATCCTAGTTAAAAGTAAATAATGAATGAAACTTATTTATTTATTATTAATCAAATACAAGAAATTAAAGGAACTTAGTTTGAGATATGTCTGTGATGATGTGGTTTTTTTTTTTACATGTTAAAATAATCTAGCTTTGGGTAATATATATTTCAGGTTACATAATAACTTATATGTAAATTGTTTAAGTAAATTAGATTTCTTTAATATATTGTGTAATTTCCTGTAGTAGCATAACAAATTATACAAACTACAGGCTTTTCATAAGGTGTGAAGATTTTATAATAATTATAGTCCTTGAAGTACAAATGATCTGAAACGTACTGACAACAAGCTGCATTATGTAGCCACAAACATGAAATATTTTTCGTTTCACATTAGCATTATCATTGAGGTATTTTTTTAATATATACATATTTAACAATTTCAGCATAAGTTGGCTCTGTGGTAGAGCTGTGGATTTCAGAGCTGGAAATCCCAGGTTTAAATCTGTGCAGTACCACAAAATGTTCCCTGCAATTTAAACTACGAGTGTATTATAAGAGTGATAGACAATCCCTTAGTGTGGATGGTAGGGTGCCACCTACTATCTGCCTTCCATCTAATCAATGGTTCATAATTAGGGATAGTAGCAGATAGCCTCAAAAACTTTGCCATAGATACAAAATACAAATAATAATTTTTCAGCTTACACGGGGAAAGACAGTTTGCATAGTGGAAAATGCTTCTAAAACTTTTTTTTTTCTGAATGTGTTCGTATTACCATGAGAATGAACACTGTAGATCTAGAACTTTGTGAATTAAAAAACTATCTTTATAGTCCTTTTTTTGTTGTTGATTGCTTTGTATCTTGTAGAATGTATACTTATAATTGTAAGAGCATAGATTATTTTTTTGTAGCTACACTTGTTTTTGCATCATAGCTTCCTGTATAAAGATTCCATAATGGAGCCCAGATTGGCAAGTGCACCCAGTAATATCAGATGTATTTATAATGGACAGAATCTTAATGTACTGTAACTGTAATGTAAAATACACAGCTGTAGTTTTACTGTAACTGTAATGTAAAATACACAGCTGTAGTTTTACTGTAACTGTAATGTAAAATACACAGCTTTAGTTTTACTGTAACTATAATGTAAAATACACAGCTTTAGTTTTACTGTAACTGTAAACTATGCAGCTGTAGTTTTACTGTAATGTAAACTATGCAGCTGTAG